CAGTCATCTCGATCCCAACCCTGGATAAAGGAGGAGGGTTGTGTTAAGTAGGACACCTAGCGTAAAACTTTGCCACATCTTTTTATAAAAATCATGAATCTGTTTTATATGCTAATGCTAGGGTGTTCCTTGAAAACGACAGGTCTAATTGAGGGTACGGTCCTCGATAGAACAACATGGCAGAACACGATTCATTTATCTAGGCCATCCCTGATAGGGCCAGAGCCTCTTTGGCCCGGTTTAGGCCGGCCCTTAAGGGAACAGCCCATTGCTAGTTACCAGTTCATAATGACCTTATTGGGGCTACCAAAAATTTCGTACTCCTTTCGTTTTATTTATCTTTGCTTTTTAGAAACTTTTATTTGGATGGGCAGTCCACACCCAAACTTTGATTCTAAGAGGTTTCAGCTGAATTTCACTCTAGGAAAGTATGCTGTGTTAAAAGTTGTGTTTCTTACCTTCCTAGTATTATTCAACTTGATGTCAATAAGGGATGGCTGGGGGGTCTTGTTCTTCCAGTCTGAGTTGGTCGACGAACTCGATGGACTGTAACTGGAGGAATGCCTCCCCCCAACAATCCGTTGTTCTACATCTGACAGTTGGGAATGCTAGGCAAATGTAGGAAAACCAAATTATAGCAGGTTACACAAACTCTTCTGTTTTAATTGAGCCTGATGAATATGTTATGCTACAACTCTCCTAATTGATGTCTAAATCTTTGTCTATTTTGGAAAGTTTTAGGTTAAAGAGAAGATAGATGAATCAGAATATGTAATTCTTGTCTCTAATGTCTGGTCTCTTTTGCTGAGACTCGATAGATAAATCTTGAAAACAAATTATTGGTATAAAAGAGAACTAATTGAGCTGTTTTCTATAATATATTTAACAGTTGTCTAATATTTCCCACTATTGTTCTCCATCATTATAATAATAATAATAAAACAATGTCTTGATCACTTCTCAAATTCAGTGGGGCATTAATATTATAAAATGGTGATCATATTGTTATTTATCATTTGTTTCACCCAAAAAAAAAAATATTGCTCAGTCGCTTTTCAAATTCAGTGGTCCATTAATGGTGGAAGACGGCGACCATATTGCACAAATTTGACTATTCTTTTGGAAGTTTCAATTTGGAACAGGATTGAATTCTATTTATGGCAATTCTTTATACTAAAAAGATTATATGCACCCGCGGGAACATAATGGATTTTTTCTCCATTTGTTTACTGTTGGTGATGAGTCTCGTCGGGTCTTTCTAGGTCTAAATCCAGACCTGACCCAAACTTGGGTCGGTTAGGTCCAGGTCAATAGGACCCAACCCACGAGGTTCGGTTGAGTCGGGTCTGGGTTTATAAATAAAAAATATATCAAAATGTAATTTGTATATTTATAGTATATAGTTAATATTATTTCTCTATATTTTATATTAATGTATACAGGATCAAGTCAACCCTACCTGGACCCAACCTGACCCAAGGTGGACACAAACCCGGAGCCGACCCGGGTCAAGGGCCAATGGATCGAGACCTGAGCTGTCGATCCCTTGTCTGGGTCTAGACCTGGACCCAATCAGGTCGATTTTGATCCATTTTGTCCACCCCTACTTTTGCTTGAAAATGGGTTCGGGTCGAATAATTGGACGGGTCGACCCGAACCTATTTTGAACCCCTTCTTTGGCTTGAACCTTTCAACATGAATTATCTTCAATAAAACGAGAGAGAGAGAGAGAGAGAGGAGGCTGCCCTTTAATCAATTCAAAATAGGTTGGAGCTCGTAATCTTCTTCTTCTTTTGGTTTTTTTTTGTTTTTTTTTTCAAGTACTCGTTCTTAAGTAGATCCCAAGAACAAGGAAAAAAATTCACTGAACGTAATTTTTTCACTCAAAATTGTACAATGTGCTTTGGTGGGAGTATACTGCATAAAATTGTGTTAATCGAGTTGACCTGGCCACCGAACCCAATAAAAATAAGGAAAACTATTGATGGAACTAAATGAATCAAATTTGTATAATTAAAAATATAAATAATAATTTAAAATTATGAAATATCTTACACCAAGTTTTCTAACTTTAGCCAGTATAATTAGTCCAAACCGACAAGTGGGCCAAAACCAATAAAAAATTAATTCTCACCAAAACCCATATGAACGAATAAGGGTTAACTTGTCGAAGCAGCCAATCCAGGTCTTGATTAACTATAATGATAGAAGACCAATGCGATAGAGTTAAGAAGTAATTAACCCGACAACGCGGATAGAATATTGAGAACAGATTAATTAAACTAGAGAGAGAAAAAGGGTGAGACTTAAAACAAGGATCATAGGACTTGGGTTCTTTTCTCTCTAGAGAAAGATATAATAATCACAAGCTATCAGTTGCATAAAAATTGGGTTCTCATTGTTTAGAGAGAGAAGTTTGGTTATTGGAGAATTGTGTTGTGTTTTTGTAGAGAGAGAAACAAAAGAATTTGCTTGGGGTTGTTTTTCTTGTCTTAGAGAGAGAAACAATGGTGGCAGGAGAAGAAGTGGCTAACAGGAGAGTTGTACCGAACGAGTACATTAGTGGTTTTCCAGAGGAAACAGACATGGAAATTGTTACAAGCACCATGAAGCTAAAGGTCCCAGAGGGGTCCAAGGCTGTCCTGGTTAAGAATCTTTCTCTCTCATGTGATGCTCACATGAGAGCTCAGATGAGCTTGGATGGTGCACCCAGTGCTGCCTCTCTCTTCGAGCCAGGTTCTCTAAGTCATGATTTCCTCTCTCTCCACTCTGTTTTTCGCATACTTTTTTAAAAAGTATACTGTAAGATCATTTATTTTTCACACTTGTTGATCTTTAAACCTAAAATTAAGTGGCTGATGGTGTGTCATTGATTGAGCACAAAATCCAAAGGAAAAGTCCTTCATGAGTCCGAAGATGCAAGGGCCCCCTAACTCACCAACATCCATCTTTAAGATAATATTATGGTATAGAAATTTTTTCAAAAAAATCACGTTTTAAAAATCCTAAAAAAATTATTTTATTTTTGATGTTCATGATCATCTTTAACCTAGATCATGAATCTCTAAAATTTTAGATTAAAAATCCATTTCTAAGTTGGTTTAAGAGGGGGGCTACATATGTATACTATGCGTAAGCTGACTCATAGAAACCCCATCCAAATCCCAAATCATGTTTTTTTAAACTTTATGATACACCTTAAGCAGTCGTGTTTCACATCCAATAGCTACGGGTGATTTTGACTTCCTAATATCAAAAGAGAGTGGTCTTATAGTATACAATCCTTTTAATTTTTTTAGGTATTTTTAATAACTTTTTTTTTTGCTTTTTTTGTAGGTTCTAAGTAATTTTGGTGTGTGTAAAGTGTTGGAGTCGGGGCATCCAAATTTTAAAGAAGGTAACTTGATGTGGGGTGTCACTGGATGGGAAGAGTATAGCTTGATTTCAATGACGGAATACCTGATGAAAATCACTAACACTGATGTGCCTCTTACCTATTACAACGGCCTTTTAGGTATCCTTCCCACTTTTCCCTTTTGTCTAATCAATTTTATGTTTGATCCGGAGGGGAGAGAGAGGGTGTATTTGAAGATGGTATAATTTTGTTGAGAAAGTAATGTCGGCCAAAATTCAAAATACCTAGTTTAATATTTTACTCATTTGCAAATATTTCAATTAAGAATTTAATTTTTTGTAGGGATATTGAAATTAAATTGAAAGATATAAATAAGTTGGGTCGGCTTTGAGAATCGGTCTCCCTGTTTCAGTGCATATATATAGGAAAACGGCTGAGTCTGGAAGGGACTGACGATTCCGCACAATAAAACAATGATTCTCTAAAGTAAAATGGCGATCCAGACTGTCGATTCATTGATCCATACCGGTTTTTGGGCGGTTCACTATGTTTTCATGTGTTTTTTGCAAGTTCACTATTTTTCCAGATAGTAAAACGGTGATCTAGACCGCCGATTCACCTATCCAAAACAATTTTTGGAATGGTCAATCCGGATCACTCCATTTTTTAAATCACTGGAATAAGGCATCTGTCCTCGATAATTTAATTAGTTTCCCCATATAAAAAGATCCTATACTCTAGAAAAGCCCACCCAAGTTTACTCATGCCCCTTATGCATATATATTCCCATTTTATGCAGATACACTAAATATGCAAATGTTTTACTACATTAACATCTATATGCTTTCCTCATTGCATGAAGAAATGAGGTAACATTTTGCAAAAAAAATTGTGTGTAGGAATGAATGGGCTGACAGCTTATGCAGCCTTTTTTGAGGTTTGTAGCCCTAAGAAAGGGGAATATGTTTATGTATCAGCAGCATTTGGGACAGTTGGGCAACTTGTTGGCCAATTTGCTAAGCTTATGGGATGCTATGTTGCTGGTTCCAAAGAAAAAGTAATGCACTTAGTTCCTTCTCTTTCTTTTATTTTCTCTCTCTAAAAAAGAACAACAAAAGTTGGTTGTGTTTTTTCTTGAGAGAGACAGAGAGCACTCTTCAGCCTAAGGGGCCCGACTCGTGAAAATCAAATCATGGCCACAGGACCCGGCCTGGCCCAAGAAAGTTAGGGCCACAAAGTATACTATGAGGGCTGGGCAACCACGACCCAAGGATGGGGTTGGGCTGGGCTGGGCCAGGGCTGGCCTGGTTTTGACTTTAGACCAACCCAGCCCTTTATTTTCTTATTTTTCCCCTTGTTTATCCTTTTTTCTTGGGGCGGGCTCGGCCCTGTTGAGGCTAGGGCCCGCCCGATAGGGGGAGCCGGAGACTAATGAAAATTAATTCTAATTCAGGTGGATTTATTGAAGACTAAATTTGGGTTCGACGATGCATTTAACTATAAGGAAGAGGAGGACTTGGCATCCACATTGAAACGGTACCTATGTTTATTCAAATTATGGGAAAATATCACCATAAAATCTTTTTTTTGAACCGAATATCACCATAAAATCTTTATCTTGTATTGCTGTTTAAAACCTAGCAACCTAGATCGGGAATTGTCTATCCAATTCGGTGGGTGGGGAGTTCTATTCCCCCCCAATTACCCAATAATAAATTTTTATTTATTATTCATTCAAATTTTCAACCGATCCAGCTGATTTTAGAGGCCTTGGGTGGGTGATGCAAGACTGGATTCCGGATTTTAAAATATTGTTGTAGTTTAAGCCGTGTTTGCAACTTAGAAAACATTAAAAAACATATAATATATAGATTTCTAATTTTTTGAGATTTTTATAAAATATTTTGAATTTTTTTTTAATATCCTGGAGTTGGACCCCCAACTCGAGACAACTTGAATTCGGCAACTACCCTAGCCCAAGTAGCTCGGCCGACTTTGAGTTGACTCGACTGATTCGCCGTACACCGGTTTAAGCCGCAATGGGAGGCATGGGTATGTTGAACTCCAAATTTTACACTCACTTAGGTCTCTCTCTCCAAACAATATATCATTCTCTCTTAACAGGTACTTTCCTGAGGGCATAGACATCTATTTTGAAAATGTGGGTGGTGTCATGCTTGATGCTGTGCTATTAAACATGAGACTCCATGGAAGAATTGCAGTATGTGGAATGATCTCTCAATACAACCGTGCTAAGTTAGAGGGAGTGAACAACCTCTTCTATCTTTTAACTAAGAGAATTCTCATGAGAGGCTTCTTTGTACTAGACTATGGTCACTTGTATCCTCAATTTTTAGAGACCACTATAAAGCATTTGACAGAGGGAAAGATAGTGTATGTTGAAGATGTTGTAGAAGGCCTAGAGAAGGCCCCCTCTGCCCTTGTAGGGATCTTTCAGGGCCACAGTGTTGGAAGGAAGGTGGTTCTCCTGGCTCGAGACTGAGAGGTCTCGATGCCTGTTTTCATATGATAATGAATAATGAATGCTTGATATTCTGCTTCATTATTTGAGTCCCCTCAACATGTATCGTATTAGCGATATTTATGGGATGGGACATCTTTATACAGAATTCACTCTACATATGAGGCTAGGCTATCTTCAGAGGGCAAATTACTATTTTTCCCTTGAACAATGTAAGCTTTGCTTTGGGAGAAGTTTAGGTTCTTTTTTGTTGTATTTGTTCTAGTGCTTGATTTCGTAGTGGTTGAAGAGTATTTTCCATGGTTGAATAAAGTTGAAATGTTTATGCCATTGGTGGTGCACGGCTAATCAATGAAATGGCAAATTAGCAATGAATATGGGTGCATTTGTCTCTCTTTTAGAAGTTAGGATGGAATTTTGCTTAACAAGAGATAGTTCCGAACTTTACTAGTGTGCATGTACACTAAGGGCATGTACGTGAAAACATGAAAGAATTTTTTCATGTGGTGAGGTGTAGAAATATATACACATAAAGCTTTTTGAAAAATCCATTTATTTTATATCTAATGTTTTTTTTTTTTTATAGATTCATCATCTAGCCAAGGCAATCAAGAATATAAAAAGAAAAGTAAAATTTAAACAAATTTAAATTTTTTTACGTGCACCATCTATATAGAATTAATATAGTATATACTTTACACAATGTCCACCTTTATTATGGACGTTTGTGAGTTAGCGGGCTTTCGTACCTACTTACTTATGCAACACTTTTTTTAAAAAAAATTATCACAAATATACCTTAATTTTTATCTATTTAGAAAAACAAACTTCAGCTTTCATAAACCTTGCCTGCACTCTTTTTGTTCAATTTTGGGTCTTTTTTTTTAACCAAAATAACTGTTGTGAAGCACAATTACGGTTATAAGGCATTTTAAGTACCGTAAAAACTAACCCACGTTATACGGCATTTTAAGTATCGTAAACTCACCCATGTTATTCAGCATTTTAGGTATCGTAAAAACTAACCAAGTCATATGGCACTCAAAATACCGTAAACCATTTTCTGCTTTTATTTATATTTATCTATTTCATCTCTCTAAATTTTTTTATGTTTATCTCTTCTTTCTCTCTCTAATTCTTTTTAATATTTATCTCTTCTTTCTCTCACTAATTCTTTTTTTATCTCTGCTCTCTCTCTATAAAATAAATTTTCAAGTAATCACAAATATTTCCAGTATTAAACAACATTTTTCAATACTTTTTGAAGGCGCACCCTACTTTGATGGTTTAGAGCCTCAGTATTATAGATATATTTTTAGTTATATTAGATAGAGAAATGATCTTATAGGACCCTCTACCACCCATGTGTATAGGACACCCAAAAGATCACCATTAAAGTTGGTACGGATCTTTAGAAAAATCAAATCCCACACCCATGTGATAACTTTTTTAGAGATATGTGCCAACTTTAATGGTGATCATTTGGGGTCCTACACACATGAGTGGGGAAGGGTCCTATAGGATCATTACTCTATTAGATAATGTATATATCTACTTAACATATTTTTAAAGTATATTACGTAAATATCCATTGTAGTTTCCGTTATTACCAAAATACCGAATACTTTATGTTATTACTCATATGTTCATTTTTTTTAATTTTATAATAATTTTTTTAAAAAGAGACGAAACTATCTATTTTTGGTTTTTCAAAAATTGAAATCAGGTCAATTTCAATTTTTAAAAAACCGCAATAGGTAATTTTCGGTTCTTCATTAGCCAAAATTTTTTCTCTCTTGTAGATCCTATGTGTATTCTCTCTACCTCTCTCTCTACACGACACGAATAAAAACGGTTGTTTTTTTAACTCTCTCCCCTTCGCCCAATGTCGTTTTTTTGGGTAAGTTTCTCTATATTTCATGGGGGGCCGGCCCAACGATGTGAACTCGATGGTGTTCTAAACCCATTGTTGTCCACGGTTTTCTTGTCAACGTTAAGGGACGAGCGGCTTGCAAAGTCTGACGCTCTGAGGGCTCGAACTATTTCTTTGTTTGTAGTTCGAGTTTCATCTTCAATAACAAATCATGAAAAGGGATTGGTGAAGACGGATTGAAGGGGGTAGTTCCCCTCATTGCTCTTTGTTAAGTGCCTGAGCATTGCTCTTTGTTATGTTATCCTCTCGGCCTTGCCTGATTCCAGTCATTCAGACATGCGGTAAGAAGATTGATTTGGAATCGCCGCTGGTTGCTGAACCTAAGAGACTTGCAAGGAAAAAAGGGGTTAGGTTAGGGTTAAGTTTCTACGTAACTTTTCTAGGTTTTTTTACAGAGAGAAAGAGAGGGTGGGAGAGAGTGTTGGAGTATTGCAAGTTCTCTAGAGAGAGAGAGGAAGAGAGAGTTTAGGTTTTTTTTTAAAGAGAGAGTAGTTTTCTAGTTTTTTTAAGGGAAAGAGGTTTTTTGGTGGCTATTTCCGCAAATGTCCAGATAGAAGAAATAGGGAGGAGTTTAAAAGGAAAATTCAGGGTAAAGCGTGGGGTGAAAAGAAAAGGTAGAGAGAGTATGTTTAAAAAAAAAACAAAAATTCAGTTGTTCAAAAACCGAATTTAAAAAAAAATCGATTTTTAAACTTGATTAGTCAAAAGAGAGAAAAAGAGAGGTAGAGAGAGAATACGAAGAAGACCCACGAGAGAGAAATTTTCGGTAGGGTAGAAATTTTCGATTGTGTAGTTTCTGTCTTTTTTTTAAAAAAATGTTATGAAATTCAAAAAATGAATATATCAGTAACAACGGAAAGTATTCGGTATTTGATAATAACGAAAAGTAAAACGAATATTTACATAATTTTCCCTAAAATTAAAGATGTCTATGATTCCTGTATAAAGAAAGAT